CTCAGCTGTGCAGTGTATCTCCATAGAAGCATGCAGACGCCTCTCTTTTAGCTTAATTGAACCGCCTTGAAACAGAAAGAGACTTCGAACTGGGAAAGTGTTTTATACAAGTGCCGTACCTCATACGCTTTGTGCTTAGTACTTCCCCCGTGCCCGTGGATGTTTCGTAACGTAAACTAAAGAGCACTGACAGGCCTGTTCGTGTTTTGCACCCTCCCATTTGTAGCCATCGGTTAAAAATTAAGAGGTCTGCAGGTCTGCGACTTGGACGATAAGATTACGAAATCATTCTCAATCACGACGTAATCTAAACAGTTTTCCTTTGATCATCGTTATCAACCCGACACTCAGATAAGACCTCATCCCATTGGCCTACGTCTTAAGGTCAACATTACAGCTGCTGTTATCATGCAAGGTAATTGAGGTGATTTGTTCTGGAATGTTGTCAGTCCGAATATAAAGTTTTTCCCGTCTTCTGAAACCTTTCTTGGATTTAATTTGGCGAAAAAATTATTAACGGAGTACCATATGATCCAATTAAGCTGGGGCCACACGAGCGCACAAAATTCGTCCGTTGTTATTAACGTCGTGACGTCCGTTTTAGAAACAAACAAGAGATACGACTGCTACGCTTTCTTCTGGTTCCATTGCAGACAAAATACTACGCACCGCATTCTGCAACTGTGTGGTGTCCTCAGCAACGTCCGTCATAAAATACGTTCGTTGCAACGAACGTACTTCGTGCGCTCATGTGGCCCCAGCCTTAGTGTCGTAGAAGAAGGAGCCGCTGTATTGAAACTGAAGAAAATTTGAAGACAGCAAAAAACACAGGAAAGAACTGACCACCTGCACTTAACGCTAGAAACATGCGCAGGACAGACAATAAGTCACTGACCAGTAAACAGATGAGAGTGAGTCAAAGGACGTATGAAACAGTAGGATCGGCTGTAATGACATACTTTATATACTTTAGAACAAAACCTTAAACTGATAAAAAGTCCACACAAGGTCTAATCGGTATATTGTTTGCTGAAATTGCATCAGAAGTTATGTCCAGTTAAAAGACGACGGTTTCGTTTAGTGGCACGGCGAGAAATGTGTAAATCTACAATCAGAACTCGAATTTCGGGCTGAATTCATCATCTTTATATCGCCGTATCAAAGCAGTTCGTAAAGTTCAACCCATCTTGCCCAACATCCATGGAACGAAATCTCATTCAACACCAGTAGTTACCGCGTCCTTACCTCGTCAGATAGTAGAGTATCATTAAGACCCAAAACAAATGTCCAAAATGCCATGAATACATGTCCAAAAACAGCCATAAACACAGCATCGCGCCTGCAGTGTACTCGTGTCTCCCATCTTGCACACCTGCACCCGGCGTTTCAATGTCAACCTGCGAAAGGTTTTCCCCGTATGAAGACATATTTATACGTTAATGTAGGTCGGTCACAGTGGCCGAGCGGTCTAAGACATGAACTGTCTTCACTCGCTCGGACACTGGCATCGTGGGTTCGAATACAACTCAAGGCATGGATGTTTGATGTGTGTATGCATTTGTTCCGTGTTTGTGTTCTCCTGTATTTAGGTAGCGGCCTTCCGACAGGCTGGTCACTCGCCCAAGGAGACGTACCGACTGTAAACAATGATTACGGAAGTAAATAAGGCATGAGCCCTGAAGAGCCAGCGTTAAAAAAAATGTTAATATAATTGAAATGGATAAGTTTAATTCTTGCGAATTTTATTTAAATAGCTTTTAATAAAATAAGCCCCGGTAAGTGTTTCCGGTATTACATTTTTTTACATGTCACCCAAGTTTCTGAAGACAAATTTTTCGATATAATTCTTGGCATGTGAAGTAATGGAAATTTTCAGGTTGATCGTCAGTTTAGTTTTTGAAGGCATAAACAATTCTCCCTCATTTTCCAAAACTGGGACCAACCCGCAACCTTTGTACGTGTTTTGTACCTAGTGCCTTAAGTCTCTCTTTTTCTTTTTTGCAAAACTATTTCCGCCAAATTTTAAAAGCAAAGTGAACTGCCCTTATGTGTGCTACTTGAGTGTCCAGTGTTAGTACTGTGGCCGATGTGGCCTACATTCTGGGTGACATAAGAGGAGACTTGAGTCAGCTGCTGAGTTGCAAGAATCCCAGGAGCACTGACCGGCGCAAGAAGACAGTAGTGAGAGCGCGAGCATCGTTGTTCAGCGATTAGCAGAGAGAGTCTAAGAAGCCGAGATTTAATATATTCATTCTGCGTTTGGGGTTACGGATGAAGTTATCGCTGACTTCGCTGAAGTTACACAGTCCAGGAAGTTACCCTTTTATAGTTAAGCATTAATGGAGTCTGTCACTGTTGGTTTGTGCTAAATGGGGCGTACAGATTTCTATCAAAGTCTTGTATTTGAGTAAATCAAGTGTTGGCGTCTCAGTCATTGTACTTAGAATATCTAATTGAATGTGGATTTTGAAATATTCTTATAGAAGAGTGAACCAGTCGGGCCTTGCGCCTGGGGCTGTACGGTTACAGTAATTACGCAAATTCTGCGGTGAGCTTTCCTTAAGATGAGTTCGTGCGTTTTCATATTGTGAATCCATATGGCAGTTGTTTGTAGGCTTTTGTAGGATCTGCTAAACCATAGTGTACCGAGGACCTTGGTTTGCAAATGAGTTATCTAGGTTGAAAGATGTTTGCAGAGAGATTACGGACCATAGCTTGTTTTGCAAGCCGATATTTGTACGTACATTTACAGAAGGGCATCAACTTCGTATTGCTGCTGCTACCACTACCACCACCACTACTACTACTACTACTACTACCACCACCACCACTACTACAATAATAGTAGTAGTGGTAGTAGCAACAGCCATACAAATCTCGTATGTAAAGTGGGAAGTTCTTTGAAGAAAGCTGTCTTCTGGGATGTGGCGCCTTGTCAATCTTGTATGAACCGACGTTGCGGAGGAACGTATCACCTCCATCTTCAGCCACCTGCTCATGCTGGTTCCTCGCTCGCAGATTTTTCTACCCTGAAGGTGGAGGCGATACGTTCTTCCGAAACGTCGGTTTACACAAGATCTACACTGCCCAACATCCCAGAAGACGGCATTCTTCATAGTCACCGCCGTGAAAGACTCAGATCTTACATAGGAAGTTCTTACAATTATAAATTTTGGTGGGGGGATTCAGAATATCTTCAGCGTTTGCATCCTGTTGTGTATCATGATTGACGGCATTTTGTTTCGATCTGCATGTGGGATCATCTTCAGGCAGTCTCATCAAATATGTCTCTAGTTACTGAACTGATCTAATATGGAGCCATATTAGTACTTCTCATCATAATCATATAATGCAGCCACAAATTTGCAAGAATTTTTCTGTTTTTAAAATTTTCCAGAATTTAAAATTCTCTTGTCATTTAACCTAAAATTCTTCGTTGTTATTGTTTCTTTTTGTTGCGCATTGTAGGGTGTCCTTCGCCCTGGGTTTGCTGTTACACTGGAAACAATCATAAAGGCGCGTCCACATTACTCGTGCTCTTCAGGCTTGTGCTCGTCGGGAGACTCGTCTGGCTTTTACTTGTGCTCGTAAGCCTTCGTCCACATTACTTCAGTTACTCCCCAGGCTTCGGCGCGTGAGGATCCGTATATTTACTCGTAGCGTGTATAGGCTGTAGTCGTTTTAATTTATTGGCTATAGTTTTTAAATTAAAAATTAAAAACTTGCTTGTCTCGTGACTTGTCATATCGTCCAAATTACTCGCGAGCATAGCGAGTCACACGAGCACGAGCACGAGTAATGTGGACATGCCTTTAGATAAAAACCAATGTGAGCAGTTTGATTTATTTTTACTTATTGTTGTGTTGACCGCAGAATACCACAAATTCAGAACATCTGCCTGAAGAAAGTTATAATTTTTACTTTGATATCGTTTTAAAATAGTAAACCAATATTTCTTTTGGACTCGTGCTTTCGATTTCCTTCTCTTGTCGCGAATTACGTTGATCTGCATTTCACGGGACTAGTCGCGTTGAGAGGTGTTGCTGTAGACCTTCAGACCAGTAGTCGGATGGTTCTCCGTCCGAACATTCGTATTACTCTTTAGTTTTTTCCTCAGTCACCGGGCAAATGCCAGGGCTAGCATTTTGAAATAGGCCACGAATCTGTCCTTCCAGATGCTTACGAGACGTTCATGACCATCTTCCCATCTCATTGATCATGTGATCTCAACGGTTGGGGCGGATTCATTACATAAGCAACCGTCTAATTATCCCTGAAGCGCAACAAAGCCTACTTCCAAACTTCTGGCAGACCCTGTTTGCCGTCTTACCGACTTCACTTCTGCCGTCTCTTTCACCGTTTTTGTTCTGCACACAAAGAGTACTCGGAAGAGCTTATGCCACATACTGCTTGCCTTTAAATTCACGGACAGGCAGAGCTTATACAGAGTGTCCCAGGATTTTGGTGCCATACTTTAGGAGCATGTAAACTGGTACATGGGTGCCAACATTTCGGAGGAAAATATTGTTTCCTTCTTCAGGGTAATGGAGGGAATAGGTTACTGCAAAAATGTTGGGATCCACCTACCAGTCTACATGGTGTCATAACCCACACTCACAGCGGTTCCCATCATTGTTAGGTTTATACTTTTCAAGACACGTGCATATATGCACACACGTACACTTCACAAAATGCGCGAAACATAATTATAACACATATTATTTATAACCAGATTTTCATATTAATTTTTCATACATATATGGGTGCTAGTGATCCAGCAATTATGTTATAAAACCAAACAGGAAATGAAGGTTTTGTGTGCTATGCATGTTATTTTTATTTGCATGAAAATGGCTGTAGCAGAGTCTGTACTGTGTTTCTCTCAATATTCTGCCGTTTAATGTACGTTTCTTAGAGCGAGAGGTCATTATGTGTGTATGTGGGAGTGGAAGAGATCAGAAACATTTTCACAGATGGATTCTTTTGTTTTGCATATACAGGGCCATGACTCCAGCCTGTCATCCTCTGCAGCTAGCAGTGAAGTTGGTGGCAGTGGTGAAGGTGGCAATGCACCCTGTAATATCAGCCTGCTAGAGAGACTGATTCGCAGCCACCCAGTATGGTTCCTCCCTGGCATCCAGCGCGCAGGGGCCTTCCACCTCCTGCAGGGAAAAGAGGAAGGAGTATGTGTTTGCGCTGAATATTATACAGTTTTATTTCTGAAGTAATGCAATTCTACTTATATGCCTTTAACTAAAACAAAATAATCACTGTGATGCATAATTTAAATTAATTGCATTCCAAAGCTATCAGTCCAGTTTGTTTCAGTGTCCATACACAATATCACAGAACAGTTTTTCTCAGAGTTTTGGAGACTACGGACCTCTACATGGGCTGTCACTGCATATGCAGATCACTCAGCTATCATAACATTCCCTGCAGCTGTAAACAGCATGCAATTGCACTTATTTCTGTGATTGTTGAATGTGCCATGAACCACTTTTTTGTCCACCAGTTTAAATTATTCATCACAATTTGTTTAAATTGAACAGTACATATTATATGAAAGCATGCAGGTGGGGGACATATCCAAGTATCCTGTGATTATTAAGAACGTAACCTGCGAGCACGTATGTTTTTTTTTTTATTTTTATATTGGTATCATGCAATATTATTACTCTAAATTTGTGATGCATAATGTGTATATGTATGAAAAAGATTTCATTACTTTTCCTCTCAAACCGCCTTTCCATCTAGTGGACCATGGACTACAGTTTCACAAACACTGTTCTAGACCATTGAGAGCAGCAGTGGGCATTTCATCTTCCTATGTCTTACTGAGTTGGGCTTAGAAAATGGTTGTAAGTCATAGGAAACTACGTAACCAGCTCCTTGGTCCAAACTACACTGCAATTAGTCAGCATATAATCAACTTTTTTTTTAGGGGGGGGGTTATGGGACATGGATATTTGTTAAAAGATCTCTGGTATTTAGGTAAACGCTGTCTTTTTCCTGAAGAGGTGTACAAGCTTTTAATAATGTATGCATGTTCCACTCATATATGAATAAACCATTGTAATTGATCGTGCCAAGTGCCTAGCAAGATATTAACCCATTTCCACCCAGTATTTGGCCTGTAAGTGCTTATTTCACTCTGTACTCTCTACTCTTTAACCAACTATACCTTGTATTAATATAATTTTGACTCATATACTTGATATACTCATTTCTTCAGGAATTGGGTCTTCTCCCATTATCTGTTAATTTGGTTGCCATTATGTTGACAGAGTCTTGCATTTTTTCAGTTTTAATATTAGGTGGGATGGATGGAATTAGGTTTTTGAATTCTAGTTAATACATATAACAGCCACTACATTGCTAGAACAGCCCAGGCGTGACTGTTGTTACAGCCCTACTGATGCTACTTATGTGATTACTTTCCATCTTGTGGTACTCACATTTGAGCTTTTTGGCCACAGAACAGGGTATCAGCTAGCCAACATGGGTTGAATGGAAGTAATTTTCAGAACTTTAATTAAATTTACATTTTTCCAGTGGTACATATTGTACTGTCAAATCCTGCGGTTGTGAACTCAACATATTGTTATTTAATTACTAAATAAAATGCATTAAAAACAGAAATTAAAACACATGTGAAACTTCTTACACAATTTGAAATAATTACATTATTTGATAATAAACTTTATTCATTTATGAGTCATAATATTCTCACATTATGGTTATCAGGAATTATAAGAACACAAATAAAAAGTATGGACGTGAAAAAGATGTGCCACTTTGGCTCAAAATTCAGTATGTAAAATTATGATATGGTGGAAGATATTTGTTTTCAGGTTTGGAATCAGCATATCAGAATTAGTTTAAAGATTTAGTTTTCTTTTATGATACTGTATCCTCCTTGACTAATATTATTACCGATAATTTTGACACTTGAATCAATAATTGTTATTACATTTATTGCTGTTAATTTGTTATATTTGTGTCAGATACTTACTATCAGGAGATCTTAATCAGATGGTGTGTTCTTCCTAGTAATGAATGTTTATGCATGCAGTCAGACATTTCTATTTCTGTTGTCACAGAACTTTGTGGTTCGTCAGTCAAGTCAGCCTGACACAATGGCTATCTCAGTGCGTCTCCCTGCAGGCAAGGGTCCGTACATCGAGCATTACCTCATCCAGGCAGTTGATGGAGAGTTGAGCCTCGAGAGTTCTGACAACCGATTTAGCAACATTCCCTCACTCATTGCCCATTACTCTCAGTGCTGGTGGGTACTGCATGTTACATTGCTTAGTTGTTCAATATTATATTAGTACATACAAGTATACCCTAAAACCTGACACATGACTCTGATTTTTAACGTTTCTTCTGCTTTATCAGACCTGCTGGAATGATTATTTCACACACACATTTTTGCAAATTTTATTAGCATTACCTGAGCCACATCCCCAGTGCATCTAACAGCCCAAATCACTAAGAATTCTACAAAGTTTGTCAGTATCTTTATGCCACATCTAGTAAGCTGTTATGGATGGCTGACAGTTTTATTAATTCACAAGTGGATGATAACTGATTAAAGAAAAATAAGATTGCAAATTAGTTTTACTGAATTACCAAAGGTGTTGGATGTACTGAAATTAAGTACATATGAATGTATGTGCTTGTAGCTGAAGCAGAGATAGATAACATTCATCTGTGTACATATTCATGACAAGGTTAATGAAAACAGTGTTTCACATGAAACTTGTAGATACATATTCTGTTGCTGAGTTGTGCACCATTATAATGTGTAGGCTGTGCCATAGCTCAAGCGGTTAGTTGCTGGCTTCCCACCGCGGCGGCCCAGGTTTGATCCCGGGTCTGGTCAAGTGGGATTTATGGTGGACAAAGTGGCGCTGGGACAAGTTTTCTCAGAGTACTTTGGTTTCCCTTGCCAATCTTCATTCCACCAATTGCTCCACAATCACCCTCACCTATCATCCGGGTCTGGTACAATAGGCCAGCAGTGGTTGCAGTACAGGGGACATAGTCCCACCCCACTAGCAATAAAAAAAATATAATGTGTAATGTTGTTTATTATCACAGTACAGCCAAGTACATCACAAGTTGTGTTGTAATCGCTTGTACTGTGATAACGAACATCATGTTGAAACTGTTGAATCCTATCCCCATATGAAATTTCACATTCCTCCCCATAGTGATGCATAAGATACACCATCAAATGGAAAATTAGAGATTTTATATGTTTGTGATGTTATTCTGCATCTACAGAAACAATCTTGACAAAAGTCACGTGGGTTGTAAATGATGTGTCAGTATTATCAGTGGTGTAATTTATAGAGTGCAGAGTAGGAGTAGTGTCCAGAGGCATTGTCATCACACCAAGTTTAATGTAAGTGCCAGAAATTATCAGTGAGAACTACATGTATTTAGTTAGTTAGTTATTGGAGAGGGTGGGTTTCCCCATGCACTGAGACCTGTATTGGTCCATTGTGCTTCCCTCTATGATTTCTACCAGTCTCTATATCCTACCGGTACTGGTGCGTACCATCAGTCCCGCCCAACCAGTGAGACCGGCTCTACTAGTTGAGAGGTATCTATAATGCTTCCCCCATCTACCAGAGGTATTAGAGACTGCTGTTGGGCGGGAAACGTCTGTTAATATGGCTCAATGACCTCCTTTGGAGATATGAGGTTCTTTTACGTGCAGTAAAGCTACGACACGGGACCCACGGCTTAAAGTCCCTCCCGGAGGACTTGTTCCCTGAATTTTTCTGCCCTTAAAAATTCCACGACCTCTGCTGGGTATTTGAACCCGCGTACTACGAGTCATGAGGTGGGAACGTTACCTCTAGACTACGGAGGCCGCTTAGAACTACATGTAAATATACATAGACATGATGATAACTACAAGTCTGTTTATTCTTGTGATAACAAACATATATTTAATTATGCTATAAATTCACATAAAGTAGTAGCTACATTCTTGTTTTCCAGTGATGAACTCCCCGTGCAGTTGACATTGCCCCGAGCAATGCGAGAAGCCAAGAACCACCAGCAGCTGTCCTCTCTCGCTCTGCTTGGTCAGGGTAAGGTTTCTTCCTGTAAACTGAATGTTGTGTTCCAAATTAAAAATGAATACTGAAGCGTTCTTTTATATTGTCTTTATGTTCTTTAGTGTTCCTGATGTTAATATTTTCCAGATTATATTTTGATATAATAATAGTCATAGTAATGTAGTGAATTTTTTGCTTATTACTTTGTCATTGTCATACCCTCATGCCTCAGCACCCATATCAGTTGTACCCTGTTATGTTTGGCCAGTTCCATAAAAGTTTTGTAGCAATCCCAGACCAATTTTGAGTTGATGTGGTGTTTGTCGAGCGCTTTAAGTGCAGCTTGGCTGTCAGATGTTCCTATTTCTGTAGTTCCTGTCTAGATTCTCCATAATACATGCCTTAATGGCATATACTTCTGCCTGAAATACTGTCATGTACTGCCCAAGGCTGAAACTAAGTTTCCACTTTGTGTCATAGCAGAACACACCAGCTCCAGTGCCCTAAATATCAAATAAGATATATTACCCTTGATAATGAGCTAGTAAATCTCTGTCAGGGGAGTAGCTGGTGACATACTGGACTGCAGATTTCCATTCCTGACAGGGTCAAAAGTTGTCTCTTTGCCATGTCACCTAGCATGGATCATGGGCCCTTTCAGCCTCTAATCCCTGGAGCTAAACTAGTCAGACTGTGAGTCTGTTAACTTACCTTTATCTTGTGCGAAGGTACAAATCAAATATTATTTCCTTGCTTGGGGAGTGACTTCATGTTGTGGTGCTTAGGTATAGAGATAACCAGACAACAAGTGTGTATTGTTATGTCATTACTTATATAATTCCAACTTCATGTCTTCCCTCATACACAGTTACAATGAAATCTTCAACTTCCTTATTATACTGATGCTGTTACAGAGTTCTGGAGGTATCCAATGGCTAATCCACGACCCCCAGAACAGCAAAATCAGCAGCACTCTGAGACATCAAGTTCACAGCAGAGAGTAGCAGTTGGAGAAAGCCTCCAGAGCCCCCCTAGCAGTGGTAGTAGTCTTAGCAGCCTTGGGAGTGGTAAGTTCCAGGTCATGAACCTCCATCATTGGGTCTCAGATTTATGAAACTCCTCGCTTTCTTTAAAAGTTCAGTAAAATATGCTGCAAAGAATCCAGTTTACACACTATCTTCTAAGAGAAATGAGTACCAGGAATCTTCCTGGGGACAAAGAATGGCCAGTGCTTAAGGCTGATGACCTCACCTCCATCTTTGAGCCTATTGTCTAGAACAGCGTGTCTCAACCCCCAGGCCCTAGCATCAATTATACTGGGCCCTCATCTTATAGAATAAAGAATTTACTGGGCCGTGGTCTGACAAAAGTTGAGAACCGTTGGTCTAATAAATGCGGGAGTGTTCCATAAAAAGGAGGCCATGTTCTCAGGCTAAGTTGAGCTGAATCACATAAATTTAACTTCTTGTAGACTGTCACTGTTCTTGTTAACATTTTTCCCTACAAAGCATTTAACAGTTCCTTTTGCTATAATTTTGAGCAGCACCCAGCTTCCAGCATTGTAATTGTTTTCTCCTTGTAGGAATTGTTACATTCCAAGTTCACAAATTAATGTTAATCTGCAAACTGCTGAAATCTGTTAAGTTGTCTAGTAGGGCTTGAGTCTATTTCATCTTTAATTTCAGAGCCTGACTCACTTGTTTCTTCTGATGTAATTCTGAACAATATTTCCTTGACAACAAAAAAATAACATGATTAATAATAATAATAAAAATAAACAGAAAGTTCTGGAAAGAACTATCACTAACTTCCTTCGATAGGACATGGACCACATAGAAAATGACATGTCCAGAAATTCTTCTATTGTTGCATGTGTATTCGTTGCCACAGGAACATGTTTACCAAACCATTGCATGGCAATGATAGGGGTGATACATAGACACACAGACAGCAATGTAATTTCATAAGTCTATTTTAATTCCTTCAAAATAGGGAAAGTAGGCTAAGAAAAATATGTCAAATTGTTTTATACTGGGAGAAGATAAGTTGCTTTCTATTCTTCAAATATTCTATCCTATTAAATGTGTACCCAGTAGAGTAACATATTTTGAAAATTATGATATAAATTTCCTTAACTCTTTGAAGAGAACAGTGATTTCATGCACTGACACTCTCAGTTGTTGGGTTGAACATTGTTGGGTGGTATCATTAGAGAAAAGTATGACTGCTTCATAGAAATGAAGGCATGATTTGTACATTCACATTGCACGCAGAGGAGTTTGTTATTTTTGTAAACAGTTCTTATTGTTGGGGTTTGTAAGAAAGTTTTGATCTGCAGATGGTTTGTGTGACAGCAGAAGACTGATAATCATATCACAGAATGCCTTCCCTAGATTACTGAATAAATAGTTTACTGGTCCTATTTACATGAATCACAGTAGATAGTGTTTATGTAGACTTTTGTGCAATTAGTTTACTGGTCCTGTTTACATGAATCACAGTAGCTAGTGTTTATGTAGACTTTTGTGCAGTTTGACATAAATTGTGACACTTTAATTAAGGTCTGTTTTAACTTCTTTCTTTACATTTGAACATTCTTTTGCTTCAGGAAACAATAACCACAACAGTGGGCATGACATTGCAGCAAGAACACCAAGCTCAGAGCTGGGAGGTGGTTCTGGTATTGGGGATGCCATTGTTTTAAACCTTGCACCACTCTCTTCAACTGAACATTCGCAGCAACCCCAAAGCTTAATGAGCACATTCAAAGGAAGTGGTGCCAGCTCTAGTTGTGATGTCATAGGTATGTGACCTCTGTTATATGAGTATACAATTTACAGTTAGATATATACTCAAGTGCCAAAAGTCATGGGATAGCAGTATGTAAATTTATTTTTAAGTGGCGCCACCATCCCTTGACGGCTTGGGAATGCCCAGAGCAGTATCAGTTGTGAGGTGTTCTCTTGTGAGTCAGGTTGAACACCGGCCAATCTGCTCATGGCAAGTCGACGTGAATTATCAGAGTTTGAACGGGGCATGATAGTGGGTACCAGGCGGATGGGACATTCCATTTCCGAAGTTGTGTGGTCATTCAACATTCCTTGATCCATGGTGTCACGGGAATACCTTGTGGAAGGCATTTCCACCCACCGTGGACAGCGCAGTGGCCGACCACGGGTGCTTAATGATTGTGACCAGTGGCATCTAGCTAGAATTGTCCGTGGTAACAGACAAGCGACACTGGCTGAAATCACATCCACATTCAATGCAGGAGGTACCAGACGCATATCCAGCGGGTCAGTGCAGCGTTCTTTAGCTTCCATGGGATATGGGAGCAGAAGACCGACCAGAGTGCCTCTATTAACACCAGAACACCGGACACAGCGCCTCACCTCGTCTTGTGACGTTGCTAATTGGACCCTGGAGGATTGGCAACATGTGGTGTGGTCTGATGAGTCATGGTACCAGTTGTTTTGGGCAGATTGGAGGGTTTGGGTGTGGCGCAGACCCCATGAGGCCATGGACCCCAGTTGTCAACGAGGCACCGTACAAGCTGGTGGTGGTTCCATACTGGTGTGGGGTGTGTTCACGTGGCATGAGTTGGGTCCGCTCGTCCACCTAAACACGTCATTGACCAATGACCGCTACGTTACACTGCTTGGTGACCATTTGCAGCCCTTCATGGACTTCATGTACCCCCACAACGATGGGATATTCCAGCAGGACAATGCACCATGTCATCGGGCCAGAGTTGTCCAGAATTGGTTCGAGGAGCATTCTGGAGAGTTCCGACGAATGGTGTGGCCACCACGTTCGCCCAACATGACTCCAATCGAGCATTAATGGGGCGTGGTGGAGAGGTCTATTCACACCCAAAATCCTGCACCTACAAATACCAGGGAGCTGTGGGAGCTATCCAGATGGCATTTAGTCATTTCTATGATGTTGGTTTTACTTTCCATTTTTATCAGAGTGAATTCTGATTTTTGTTGCAGGTAGTCCATCTTCTCCAACTAGCAGTAGTGTGGTACCAGGTGTCGGTTCAGCTATTGTGGTGACAACTGCAAGTACATCATCTAGCATTGCTGCCACAGCTCTGGTCAGGGGCCCAAGGCCTACACCTCCGAACACACTTAACCTCATGTGTTCCGCCTCATCTCATACTAGTTCACTGGCAGCTTCAGGTCTGCAATCATGACACACACTTTTCCACCTTTTGAACATGACAGAGGCAGATGGGAGTGTGCACAGGAACACACACATGTGTGCATGCTCTCTCTCTCTCTCTCAGTATAATTTTTGGATAACTGAGCAGTTACTGGCTTCTGAAGAAGGACTTTGTTCCATGTAGTTAGTTAATTACTTAGTCAGATGATATTTTGCTTGGAGTGTGAACTAATGGCATGTCATGAGATTGATGATCTCACAATGGTGAGTATCAAAATGATTGTCTTCTTGGATGTGACACTGTTACCAACATTTTGGAGGAACCTGCAACCTATGTCTTCAGGGAAGAGAGGTGGCAGCAGGTACCCATTTGCTACAGTATCCATTGTATCCCAGAAGATTCTAATTTTAATGAAATGTCATTACTAGTAAGATTCCTGAGAGGTAATATGACTTAACTCCATGGAGCAGAGTGCTTCTTGAATAGCTATTAGTCAGCTAGTGAAATTCCCTGCATGTATGAAACCAGAAGATTCATTACCATGTTCTTGCTCCCGTGCGTGCTACAGACCCTACCCATCACATCTTTCTTGACTCTGTCACCTAATAGCATTTCATGAACAGTAAAGCATTTGAAGCTCATCCTGGTGTAATGCTCTTCCGCCTCCTTTTTATTACCATTATTTCAAGGGAGATATAAAATACCTGTAAAACCTGAGTTTTGATGCTAAAATTCACTGTGATGTTGATATTTATTTTGAATCCAGTCCCAGCTCTTACTTTTCTAGTGAAATTTGATTGAAAGAGAAGAAAGTGGATGGGTTCATTTTACACAGAGCTTCAAAAATGTATGTTTTATGATTTTGGCCTTTATGTTCATTTGGTGCAAGTATAAATCTTTAGTTGACAAATACTCAGCAGTGGAATATTGCAGTCTATGAAGACCGTGCTATTTTTCCTCTCTGTTTTAATTATGCGCTATATCAAAACCTCTTTGAAACTTAAGATCTGAAAAGAAACATATTTTACATAATGTGGCCTTCCTTTATAATATCTCATTCATGAAATTTGACAGTCTGATGTGATCTTCAAGTAATGTTGAGAACATATTGGACTGTTGCAAAATGTAGTGAAATTCACCTGACAGCATGGACTGTATGTAAGAGATTTAATCAAATTCGTGAAGTGTTTTGAGGTGGTAAAGCATGGATGATCAGTCAGATAGGTACAGAGATAGACGGATATAACCTCCTCATTACGAGTTCAATTTATTCTGTTTATAAGTACTACTAATGTATCTTAATTCCGCCATATGAACAATATTATTGAACCATAAAATATCAATGGCAAGTTTATGATATCTGGCTGCTGAAGTGGGGATGTGTTTTACTGTCAGGCATGCGGTCAGCCTCCAACAGTCCTGCACAGTTAGTGTCGCCCCCCTCCACCAACTCAACTAATGGAGATGGCTCACGTGCAGGACCTCTAGTTTTGTCCGGAGGAGGAGGGGGAGGCAAGACTCCACCTCCACCACCACCTCGCTGGGCCAAACCCACAACTCTGACGTCAGCAGCTCTCCCTGGTCAGAACTTCACTGTGACAACCACTGTCACCTTCAGTGTGAACCACAACACAACACCTCCTCCCCATGTGGAGGTCTCATGTGTGCAGGTATAGGAGTAGGAAATTGAATGGAATCCTTAATACCTCATTAACATTGTTAGGGCTTGGTGTGGCGTTTTTTGTTCTAGAAAGCGGAAACTTGAACTAAGAAATAGTAAAACCTGGTAACCATTATTACTTAGGACATTTAAATACAAACTATGAGTAAAACCAATTTGAATTATATGAAATAGTTACTGATAACTGCAGTTGAGGTGGAGTTACAAGTTTTTTATTGCTAGTGGGTGGGACTAAGTCCCTTGTACTGCGGCCACTTCTGGCCTATTGTACCAGCCCCAGATGATAGGTGAGGGTGACTGTGGAGCAGTTGGTGGAATGAAGATTGGCAGGGGAAACCGAAGTATTCAGAGAAAACCTGCCCCAGCGCCACTCTGTCCACCACAAATCCCACTTGACCAGATGTGGGATTGAATCCGGGCCGCCGTGATGGGATGCCAGCGACTAACTGCATAAGATTACTCATCATTAAGTGTAAAGAGTAAGTGATGCAGTGTCATGTCCTTGCCTAAACATTTCCAGTTAGCCATATGCTTAATGTCGTTGCCTGCCTCTTGGAATATAGGACCTCCAATAGGACAAGTATTTCAACACTGTTAACATTCTTTATCTTCTGAATTCAAATTCTTGACCTGTTATAATTTATTTCCTTTTAGCAGTTTTTATATATGTTTCAGTCAGATTCTTATTTCAGGTATGTTGACAATGCTGATTGTAGAATTGCATATACTTCAGCAATTTCTATCTTAGCGTTTGCATTTTCATTGAGTTCTTTGATTATTTTGAGTTGTTCTATTAAGATCTTCATATTATACAGTACATTGATGCCCTTTCATACTGGTTTGCTGGGGACCACATTAACTGAACACTAAAAGAAGTTCTGGGAAGGACTAATCATCAACTTTCATTTGATATGACGTGGACCACACAGAATATGAGACCTCCAATAATTCTTCGTTGCTGTGGGAACGTTTTTGTTGTTACCTAGCAATGACAGGGACATACACTGACCCACAGACTCTGCTTTGATAAGACACACACTGTATAAAGAACGACACATCCAACATTTTTTCTATTTTTGCTTATATTCATTGCCATGGGAATGCGTTTTTGTCTAGCAATGAAAAGAGGGATACATTTTACTGAACCTTTGCCTAACAATGGTAGGAGAAATACAAAGACTGATGGGAGATATTTGTGAAGTATGCCATTAGATGAGCTCAGGTGCCATGATAGACTTACCAAGTTTCATCAAGATTGGTTCAGGCATTCAAAAGTTGATAGGAAGGGATTCACAGACATACAGAGAGCATGATGATTTCATAAACCTACTTTCACATTTTCAAAATAAGGAAAGTAGGCTAATAAGTGGGAAATGCTTCATAGGATCCAATATGAAAATCAGATGAGCCCTTGAGTTCCATGACAGCAGGGGATTTCTTGACTAACTGAAGAATTATTAGAAGTAATATGTTTTTGGACATTATCCATCATCTTGTCAATTTTTAAAAACCATCCTGTTTCTTTTTCAAAACACAACGTTTCGGTGACTGGATTCTGTCCCCGTCCTCAGGTAAAACCTTCTCAGTTGGGTCCAATAGATAGAGCTAGAATGGTTTTTAAAAAATAGACGGGACGATGGATAATGTCCAAAAAGATAATACTTGTAGCAGTATACCATTGTCACAAGCTTTTAGATCTTATTTGAAGAATTATTAATTCCTCAACAAGACTGTGTACCATGCAGTTAGTTATACATTCTTAATACTCTGATAAATAATGCACATGAAATTGAAATGAGTTGAATACAGTATGGAGTTCAGCTGGTATATATATGTACGCTTACATTTGCTTGAGTAAAGGAAATCAATCACAACCTTTAGTTATGTTCAGAAATAACTTTGGATTTTGCAATTATAATGTGGGTAAAACGGAACTGGCAGTTTGGATCATTCACTGAATATAATGAAATCATTTAAACTGGCTCAGTATAGCTCCCCATCACAGGCTCTTGTGTTGAATCAAATAGTTGATGTTCTTACCATAAATTTCATAAATGTTTTGTGGTGTTAGGTAACCCCAAAACGGCCCCAAATGGAGTCAGATGGTCTGCAAACAATGTCTTCACACTGTAGCAGCGCAAGCACATTAGAGCAATGTGGAGTTCGTCTTCATCAAGTGATGTCCCCAACAACTCCTAGTGACATCAGTAAGCTACCTGGAAATGGACGGGGAAAGAAACATCGCCCTAGCCATGGTCGCCAAACCACCATCAAGGAATCTCACCATTATCAAGAGTCGGATATCTTAGAATCACCCACTGTATATTATCGAAGCTCTGTTGCTGATAAAGTCTCAGATTATGAAGACATTTGGGGTCCAGAAATGTTGTCTACGTTCAAACCACCTCATCCATTCCCACGCTCATCTCCTTTCTCTTCTCCTGAAGATATCAGCACAAGTAGTGGTGGAAACAAGAAAACTCCAGATCTCTTAGAAAGAATTACTACCCCTGTTTCTGGCAGTTGTATTTCTCTTAATTCAGCCAATGGGAATTTAAAAGATCAGCAACAGAGAAATAGGTTGGGCCTTGTTATAAACACTGGAAGCTGTACCAACTCTGTCACAAACTCACCAATGTCCCCTCTGGGTACAGAAACGAAACAGCAATCTGAGGAGCCTGGAAGCATGACTCCAAAGAACACAAAACAAGGAAGTCCTTTCTATGCAGAGCCAGCTGATGCTCTGAGGCAGGCAGCTTTGGTACCCCGAAGACGACCACGGCCAGGTGGACAGCAGATTTTCCAACAGCAGACACGAAATCATAGGCACTCAGATCCTGCCTCTTTCCAACAGTGGCCGGTTTTACCACATCATACAGGTCAGCTTGAGAGGATAGACTCAAATGATGAGCTGACAGCAACACCGCTCTCTTCATCTGTTGACAACCTTGCACTGCTGAAACCCTCTCGAAATGGGGCTACCAGCCAGCAGAATATCAACAGACCTCGAGGAAAACCAGTTCAACCTCCAAGAATTAGGCCTAAAAATATGAGAGGAAAATGTTTCAATGATACATCATGGGCTGTGGATTCCAGTTGGGAGTTCATAGGTAAGGTTACTTCCGTTATATTACGTTAAATTTCAACTACCACTGAATGAATAGTCTTCATCATAAGATTGTGTCTGTATTGTTAAAGCAAAAGAAGTATGAATGAAATATACAGTGAAACCTTGATGTTACATGTCTGAAGATACTACCTAAAATAAACATAAGATTGAGAACACTGGAAAACTGGGAAATGAAAGTGAAATAACATAAGGAAAAATGAGGGCTGCTTTGTACCATAACTTTAGCAATTCACTTAAAATATTCTTGTTTGAATATAATAATTAGAAGCCATTTGGAAGCTGCTCACATCTGTGAACATTTTAAAGATTTCTGCTGTTATAAGAAGGTCCACACGGGGCACATCTTTTAATTTCTTAATTGTTTTCCACGGGTTTGTTTAGTGTGGGCACTGAAAGTCCTAGCTATGATGAGAGTTTCACACTTGTTTTCAATATGCATATCAAATGCACTATAATACTGATTTTGCTATTTGTTGTAAATGCTTTCTGCTTCAATCTATTATCCACAAATCCACAATGCAGGCCGAAAATAAATAAATAAATTGAATACCATCTTTATACACCACAGCCTATTGCTGTGTAGATGTCATTTTAGATTTGACTTCACAGTCAAGCAGATTTCTGCAACAACTCCAACATAATGACATGCATGAAAGTGTCTGTGTCTGCAGGTATTTTTGCTCACTCACAAGAGGTTCAGGAAATTCTGTGTACAAAGATATGCCTGTTTTACTAATACAGACCATAAAAATGGTTGGAAGAGTGCTAGTGCTTCTTTGAATTTTCTGAAATAGAACCTTGTAAATGTAAGTCAGGTAGACTTACATTGGCAGGATCCAAGAAATAAAGTGCCACTTTGGGAGAAACAAAGTGAAAACTACAAATCAATGAAAATTCAGCACTGTTCTTTCAGGCTTTTAGCTTGGACCAATGAAAAAATGCATAAAATAAAGAAAAATATGAAGTCTAAGAGCACAAAATCAAATTTCCACTGTATTGCTTGTAGTGGTTGTATACAAGTATGTGCCATCATAATGATGGACTTAGGGATCGATAGGGTAGAGAACATGAAGGAAACATCCACATTTACAAGCTTCCTATTGCAGTAGATGGAATGTGGAGCTAACCATTCCCCTTCCACTAGTGCCAAGGTCAAGAGAATGTGGATCTATACATCCACTCCCCCATACATCTTCATGGCATAGTGCTGAATTAGTTAAGCATAAGGACAACTTTTCTTTTACTTTACTATTGCAGTAGATATATTAATTGCACACATTCATTAGTTTGCTCCAGAAATAGTTCTAGTGCACAAGCCTCCCCCCCCCACAGCATGCCAACCATGCTTGTGATAACTTACCTTATCAGCATAATACATATGATGCTAATGGATGGAGTCACTAGAACTCTTGAGGACAGTTGTGATCATATTGTTAGTGAAATAAATGATCAAGTACTTTGATGAGTACATCGATATTCTTCATAATACACAATAATTATTGTAAATTTTGTAACAGCTTGTTAAATACATCATTACATGTTATCTAGTGGTCAAAAAATGCTTTGGCACAGTACAATGTCAGGGCTAGCAGAGTGGCAACATATTTTAATTAAAACAACAAAAATACTAACAATAAATTAGTCATTATCACTGCAAGAAACAGACCATTAAATTCTAATTATGTAATCAGTTGTAAGATTTGAGGCTTTCACGGCGGTGACTATGAAGAAAGCAGTCTTCTGGGCTTTGGCGCCGTGTATATGTGGTGTTAACCGACGTTTCGGAGGAACGTATCGCCCCCATCTTCAGGGTTGAAGAAAAAGTATAGGTAAATCTGCAAGCGACAACACCGTGAGACACGGTAACGCAGNTCATTCATGCAAGCAGCATTAATATGAGTAGAGATATAAACGGGGTGAGTGGATACTGCAGTATAGCCAGTATGAGCCATCAGAAAAAGATTCTGCCATGCAGCTTGACCATTTTGGAAGAAAAGTCACTAAGGTTCCTAACAAGACTCTCTAGTCTTTCTTATGCACAAAATTGGCAATCACATATCTCTTTTTGTGTCCCACTCACCCTATTTAGTTCCACATATTTTGTTTTCAGTACATGGTTTCCAGATGCTTTCTTGGTCACTTGTCATTTCTGTACATGGCCTCATAACAATCATATGCATATATCCAGTGGTGGTGTATGGCATTGTTTCTGGATGCTTCCAGGGAAGGGATCACAGGGAGGAGAATCACACTGAATACCTGTTTTCTATACTACACAATGCTGGTGGGTGTGTTAGGAGAGTGACTGCTAGTGCCTCAGAGGCAGCTCTGCTTCATATGACTTTACATTTTCTGTTTTCTATAACATTCCTTTATAGGTGATAGATATACTGATGACAGTTATTGAGGAATAGATTAATTAGTATTTTCCCTTTGTATATCAATAGAACTTTGTGATCTGTCTTAATAAGAACAGGTAAATTTTTAGGAAGTAATGGTTTAGTAGTTTGCAAATCATATAGAAGTATTAAAATTATTACTTTTCTTTGTACCGTGACCCTTAACTGCACTCTTGAGTCAGAATAGAGTGCTTATTGTGTTCAGTGTACACTGTATTAAGAAGTGTTCACGTAACATTGAAGACGTTGATGAATTTTATATCGTTTTTGTACAGTGACCCACTTTTAAGAAAACTGAAATAGCACACTGACAAATGTTGCTACCAAATTTAATATAAATGCTTTGGCTTCTTTTTAGACTGAAACATACAGACGGATGGACACAGACATGACCTTCACATTACTCATTCCATTTATGCACTTCTTTCAAAACAATGAGTGTTTCCAGTTCCTGACCTCATGAAGGAACCTTGAAAGAATTAAATATGCTGATGTCCTTATCCATGTCAAAAGAGAATTGTTGCAGTAAGTTTTGTTGGCAGGCAATGAAGATGATGGTGAAGATAGTGAGCATGGTGAAGGGGGACTAGAGGAGCGTGAGCGGAGGTTTCCTACATTAGAGCAGCAAGAAAATTCACTTGGTGTTGGGGATGGCATGTCCTCAGGAGGCAGAAAGATAACAGTACAGGACCTAATAGCACAGAGGTATGTATACTCAGTCATTTTAAACTGTTCTCTCTCATTACAGACTGTGATGACATTGGAAATTTATGACAGTGAAACTTATATTCTAAGGCTCTGACACTAGATCTGAGTGGGTTCAAAAGAATTTGTTTCCAAAAACAGTTTTCTTTGTGTGCAAGACCTAGTGATGTATGGAAAGTAGTAATGGCATTAAATATATTTTGTCAGCTTGCCCAACCCATCAGATACCTCTCATAGTAATTAAATTGGAGAATGCAGTTGTTCACTGCTTTATCTTTTCGCAAAGAACTTGTACACTGTGTTCAATCAAGGAGGAAACTTTGCAACACCACTGACGGAGCCCAACATTTCTAACAGATTGCTGCTGTAACTGCCGATAGCATTATCAGTCATTAGCGCTGATAAATGCGCACTGTCAATTGGCGTGATCTTGTCACTGCAGTTAAGTCACATTAATAGTCAGTCTGTGTTAGAGATGTCGATAGACCGTCAACATTTACACTGAAATGAAGTTCACTATTGAACAGCATGTGTTTATTGTCAAAACATTTGCAAGGGAAAAAACTTACACAAAATGTATCCTTAAGTTTCTTCATAAATATCCTGATTAGCCAGTTCCCACAAAGTCATGTGTATCCAAGCTTGTGAAAAAGTTGCAGGCCACAGGTTCAGTGTGCGACATAAAGAAGCAATTGAAGAAGATTGTGCTGACTGAAGAAAAGGTTCAGAATATTGAGGCACAACTACAGATCAGTCCTCAAAAATCATTAAAGACGCTTAGCACAGGAAACCAGTGTTTCGCTAGAATCTGCTTTCACAGCCACAAAATTAATTAAATTTCACCCAAATAAAATAACACTTGTGCATGAGCTGAAGCAACCAGATTATGCATCAAGAATTCGTTTTTGCCCCTGGCTGCTGCAAAATGTGCAAGATGGAATTGTGGATCCACAGCTTCTGTTCATGACTGATGAGGTGTGGCTTTATGTTAGTGGTCATGTCAATGTACAGAATGTAAGAATATGGAGAGATGAAATCATCACGCTCTACAGCAAGTGCCATTACATAGTGAAAAGGTGGGGGTGTGGTGTGCTGTATGTCTGCGGCGAATCATTGGCCCCTTATTTTTCCACAAAACCTTGAACTCTGACCGATACCTTAATGATATACTGCATCCATTCTTGAGACAGCTGACTGCTGAAGAAAGACAATATGGGCATTTTCAGCAAGACATCGCTACAGTACATATGACTAATGCATCCATGGTCACAATATGGGAAATGTTTGAAGACAGAATAATCAACAGGGGACTGTGTCCTCCCAGATCTCTAGATCTCAGTTTTTGCGATTTTTTTCAATGGGGAAACCTAAAGGGAAAAGTTTACAAGAATAATCCTTGCAGCACTGAAGCTCTGCAGAATGAAATAACACACATAATTAGTTCAATTACCATGGACCAACTTCAGAAAGTGTCACATAATTTATTAATTCGATGCAAGGCATGTTTGCAAGCAGAAGGGGGTCACTTTCAGCACCTGTTATAAAGCAAGGCAAGTTTGTGTTATCTTTTTACAGTATTCTTATAATTTGTGCATGTACAGAAACTGATGTTAGGGAATAGTCACGAAGAAACATTCCATCCACTCTATGCTAGCGAGAGTGCGCACATTTATCAGCGCTAATGACTCATCCCATTATCGGCAGTTACAGCAACAGTCTAGTATATATGCAATTCAGTCTTCAGCGCAGTTTCAAAGATTATTGGTCAATCACCACTTAGTCCATGAATTTATATAAATTTAGAAGATGCTTTGGCCACACAGGATGGTCATCAGTTATGTACGATGATTTGCATAAACTGTTTCACTGTACTCTATTTCTATATAGCCTGTGAAGGCTGTACATTCAAAAGTTTGCTTCTGTTTTAATAACTTATTATATAAAATTATTTAAATATTATTTTAAATTATGCATTGTGTCATAGTGTTTTTTTTTCTTGTGCTCTGCTGTTTGCAGCAATATGTATTGCATGGATGCTGAAGTTGCATTGAAAACAGTATTACAGATATCACATGATCAACAAATAAGTTAGGATGCTCAAGGATGGTATCTGTAGTACCGTGGGTAGCATTCCCCACAGATGATAAAATTTACAGATTTGTAAATTTTGGTTGCAGATGTGATAGTAGAATCCATATGTTACTTCCACGGTATAAAGATAGCATAACTTGAAATTCACTGATTTTCATCCTCCATGAGTCACTGTAGGATTCAGGAGGATTTCTGGAAGTATTCCTCTCCTTGGCTTGTCTTTCACTTTGAATCCTTTTGCTGTCCTTGGTATCCAGAAGGCTCTTTGCTCTTCATATTTCCTCATCTTGTATGTATAGCTACAAATTTTTGTGTCTATGAGTAATAATTTCAGTGAAATAATTCTTTGTTTGCAGATTTCCATCCCTGAGGCTGTCTCCTGAGATTTTATCACCAAATGTTCTCCCTGGCATTTCTTCACCTCTTGATTCACGTATGTCATCATACGATAATGTTGAAGGTCGTAATGGCGGCAGTCATGATATTATTGCCTCTTCTAATCACAATCACCACAATGTCACACTGCATCATAATCATCCTAGCAGTAACCATCACTGTGCCTCACAAATTAGTGACAATGAAGACACACAGACTGTCTTCTCAGAACCATGGGACAGTTCTCGGTGGGAGAATCTATTGCATCCAGACCACACAGAGACTAATTTGAGTCTAGGATCTAATTCTGTGGTGCAAGTTATGGGACAAACACCGCTATTGGGACCTGAGGAAGATGACACAATGTGTGGCACCAACACAAACAGAATCCATTCAAACCACATGGTAAATGGATGCACCAGCAACAATGGCCACATCAGCAGGACTAAAAGCTTCAAGGAAAGGCTGGATCCTCTGCTGTGTGAGTAAAGACTCTCATATCTATATGTGTCAGTAATCAACAGGTTGATATCCATAGTCATGAAACACTTTTGAAAACAACCATGGCCACACACATGACTGTATTTCTTTCAGCATATAATTAAATTATGCCAGTTAATTGTTTTAAATTTCTAGGTATTAATTAAGTGAATAATATTGTCACGTGTTGGGTGTGTCACGTGACAAATAACTTTACGTGGGTCTCGGATCTGGCGAATCTTTATTGGATACTTGCTCTTACACTCTTTACAATTGTTATCACTTCAACTGTAATCTGCGGCGGCTATCTTTCAGCTGTATAGTATGGCGACTAGGTTCCAACTGTATTGTATGGTGACTAGGATCCAAATGTGTTGTATGGTGACTAGGATCCAAATATGTTGTATGGTGACTAGGTTCCAACTGTATTGTATGGCAACTAGGTTCCAACTATGTTGTATGGTGACTAAGATCCAAATGTGTTGTATGGCGACTAGGTTCCAACTGTGTTGTATGGCGACAAGGTTCCAACTGTGTTGTATGGTGACTGGGTTCCAACTGTATTGTATGGTGACTAGGATCCAAATGTGTTGTATGGCGACTAGGTTGCAACTGTGTTGTTGCTGTCTGTGGCTCTCGGCTTATGTAAGTGTTCTGTGGACTCAGTAGAGGACACCCCTCCCCAAGGTTCGATCTCATGTGTTCGGCAATCTGTTGCTTCAGGAACGCTGTTTATACACTGGTAACATGTTTCGTCTCATCCGTTATTACTCAATGGGCCTTCTGTTGTTCATCTCTGGGGAAACGCATTCATTGTTTTGGCATTGTCTATGCAATGGCTCATTGTTATTGCATTACCATGGAAGTGCCTATTCCAAACATGTTACAATATAATCAAAATAAATAGGAGAAATGCACACCTTAAGTTTTACACAAACTGATAAGCTAACAGTGCAGTTTTAATTGTGATTGTGAAGAACACTGACTAGTTAAGTGCATCAGTATCTGAAAGTGAATTATCCTGTTCTTAGGCGAAATTCCAACAACCTTACACTGGTTCTCATGTGAAACCATCTCAGGTAGTTTCCCGTAGCTGCATCTGTATCTACTTGCCATTAATTCTGTGAACATGACTTACAGTGAGGCCCAGCGAAGTAAATTAAACCTAATTAATCATTCTTCCACATTTTCATTATCCTTGTCTGAAGGTAAAGAAAGGTGTAGTAGGGAAAGCATAATTCTAGCCAAGCCCAGGAACTTCAGATGCATGTTGGAAGAGGCTGGTATCATTGTGTCTTCTGTTTGCACCTGCACTCAGAAACAGGTAGCATAAGCCTGAAGGAAATGGCTAACAATGCCTGTGATAGGCTGGCTGGAGTTGGCAGATGGTCTGGTTACTTTCTCTGTCACTATACAGGGTACTACTGAACCATGAAAGTAACATCTTTTTGTTTTATTTCTTGAAGCATTAGAGGGGCTGACATAAAAGCTTTGCCACTGAATATGATTGAAAGTTTACTAGAAACCCCCTTTTCAATGGCCATTAAATAACAAAAACATACACACTTATCCTGTCTTTAACTGTGTGCACCCATCCCTTTTCACTTTTCAAACCAAGTGACTGAATTTGACTAATTTCTTTATGAACTTTATACTACTACTCCATACTTGTACCTTCAGTTTTCTGCAGCCACTAACAACGTGTTGGATGCACGCACTTGTGAGGTGGGCATGGCATGATGCAAATTAATCTAGGTGCAGGAATTATGTGTGTGTGTGTGTTTGGGGGTGAGGAGTGGGCAGAATGTGAAACAACATAATGGCAATTAAATTAAACCAACATTTTTATTTCCGTTTGATGACAGTAACCAATTAATTGTTTGAGATGACCAAATTAAATTTTGTACAGGGATAGATTATAAACATACCTACACATAGTGTGCATAATATTGTTTATAAGTCAGTAAGTAACATAACAGAAAATGAATTCTTAACCGTTCAGCGTGGTTTGACGTGTATGTTTCATCAAGGTATTTAAATCGTCTGGGGGGGTTCGACGTCAATGTTTCGTCCAGCTGCACACCTATGTTATAACGCCCATAATAATTGATGGTTTTGCTGTAGATTGTTAGATTTTTCGCTGGCCTGTTGTCAGGAGAACTATATTTAATGACACA